GGCCCGAGTTAGCCATTAGAACGTTTGTTGATAAGGATAGTATATCACATGTGGATATCGAGACGGTTGGTGAGAACACCATTGGAGTAGTGAGCATGTTTGCCACTTTGTTTATGAACCAGGAAGAGCAAGCGAGCCGCTCCGCACCATTATTTCACTTACCAGGTTCTGTTGGCTGGACCACGTGCTGCACATACCAGCACACCGACTGCTGCGACGAACGTTGTTTACACGTCCGTTGTCGGGATGGCAAAAGAGGAAAGACCAGTAGAGGTTTTGAACAAAGGGAATAAACTCTCATTCAGAGCTTGACGTCAGTTGGTGGCTTCCAACTCCCAGAGTGGGGTCCGAAAGGTGATGAACACGCTTCGTAGGAGAAATTTGTTAACGTGGCCAGGGGACGACCTCATCGGCGTTTATAGCGTGAGTTCCTTTGTCCATCCCTTTTCGACTTGGCCTATTAACCCGTCCAGTCGGCCAGTGGCCGAGTGGCCTGCACGTTTGCTTTGCAACCATAAGGTCACCGGTTCGAATCCGCGTCGGTGTGGGCGTCCTCGCGGTATACTCAGCCCGCGCGCGACTGGTGGTGGTCGCGCGGCAGCGAAGCGCCGTTACGGCGTACAGCTGACACATGATTATTATTATTATTATTATTATTGTTTATTATTGCTCCATCCATCATCTCACCACTGACGCAACTTTTAACCAAAGCATAATACTTTTTGTTCTAGTTTGGTCCTTTCTTTTTTTTAAACCATCTAATATTTTGCACCGTGGCACAACAGCTGGTATGTTTTTTTCATTTTCAGCCAACGTATGGATGATGACAATCTAGTTTACGGACTAATGTCTGTGAATTCCTGTTACGTGTAGACAGCAAAATTCATACACATCGTATGTTCGCACCTAACTGGTACCCAGACCTCATGACACCACGTGTTAAACGTGATGAAATAGATCCATCCTTTATCATTATTTGTGGGCGTTTTCGCCACTCCTTACCGAGAATTAGGTGAGGCAAGACAGCGTTTTGATGCAGTCCTCCAGCGAGTCAGTGGAGATGACACCCTTCCTGCCTTTGTTGAACCTTCAATACCCCCTGATGAGCGTGTTTTCATTGGCACGGTTTGCACAACATTTTGTTGCTCAACTGTGACCTTTCCATCGTGAAGCTGGCACTGGGACATGTCATCATCATCAACAGCAATACATCAGCCATTTGAACTGATGCTTCGCTGCCATACAACCATGAGGACCTATGAAATAAAGAATAAGAAAAGAGAGAGAAGGGGGACTTACTCGAAAACCTTAATGCACTAAGCAAACATTCAGGGTCAAGGCGCCTACACCTTGTGTAGACAACATTCCGTCACAAACAGCTGGCTATCGTGCAAAGATAAGGCGGCATCGGCGAGACAGCTTCCTTGCGGCTTTCACTGCCCCGCGTCATAATCAGCCATTACCCCGCAGCTAACTCAGCACCAAACACACTTTAAACAGGCTATCCGATTAGGAGACGGCAGCAGACGAGCCACTGGTGTCGGTTGCGAGCCATGTCCTGTAAAGTCTCGAGCCAAGCACAAGGTGAGTCACGTGGACTCCAATCCGGAAAGCGAGACGGGCTAACGGCACCCAGTTTAGTTGTCAGTGACTTCATTTCCCGCTGCCAAGTCAACTTCTGTCCACCTCGAGCCTTGCGCCATCCTACACCTGGTAGACTGAACAAGGCCCTCCTAGGTAAGCGGTGACCAGGCATGCGTAGTACGTGCCCGAGCCAACGCAACTTATTCAGTGCTATCTGTTGTTCTAGGGAGCTAGCATGATTATCACTACCTAGTACTCGCCTACGCACATCATCGTTGCGGACACGCTGGTGCCATCCGACACCAGCAATGCTTCTCAAACAACGATGATCAAAGACTTGAAGGCGCCTCAGATCTTCAGACCGAAGGGGCCAATTTTCACTACCATAGAGCAGAACGGCCCTCACTGTGGTCTTGTATACATGGCCTTTCAGACGGAGAGAAACTCCCTTCTGTCGCCAAGATGACGCAGGTTCAAGAAGGCAGCTCTGGCCTTTGCAATGCGTGAGCTCACGTCAGTTTCTATGCGCCCATCATTGCTGATGCAGCTGCCAAGATAAGTGATAAGTGGGACATGTAATAGTCTTGTCATTGCCGGCTAACGTTATAAATAAATGTTCGATGGAATGGGAAGTTGCACCATTACTATTGCGGAATAATCGCTTGTCGAAGTGAACTTGTATGATGGCCTCGCTTCCTATCCTCCTAGGTTTTTGTATGTAGATGTTCAACCAAAGTAGCGGAGCTATCCTTACGAGTTGGCGAATCGCAAACACCTTACTACGATAACTTGCTAGAACTTAAGTTCAGAAATCAAAGGAATAACGCTAGGCATCTCGCGAGAACCCACTTACAACGTCTGGAGAACTGAGTTCGACTATCGAACACCAGCCGTAAGCTGTATCTGTGGAAGACTGGACGATTGTATAAGAGGGGGTGATTGCTGTTTTCTCACTTTGTACCCCAGATGTCTAGTAAAGCTGGGTCAATCAAGCCACATTAGGTCAACAAGGAGTATGGTAAAATGCCTCGGCAGCGGCGCTCACTGTGGGACAAATTCCTTCTTTTTGACTCTTCCAGCGGCTACTAATCATATAAGAGTCTGCGGAATGTTCGCAACAGTGCACGAACGAGCACGTGGCGCCTGAACCCGGAAGATGATCTACCAGTGATAGAGAGCTCGGATGGACTGTCCCTAACCACCACCGTTGGGTGTCCGTTACGTTGGCAGCGCACTTTGCTTCGGTATTTGCAGATGACTGAGTTCGACGTGTGCCGCGCTTACCGAACTCGCCACTCTGGATCGCGGTGTGGAAGAGGTGCTTCAACCGCTCGTCAACCTTGACAACACCAAACTTGCTGGGCCCGACTGGCTCCACCCATTGATTTCAAAGTCCTTATGGTCCATCTTCTCGCACGCGGTGAATAACTTGTTGAACAGGTCACTGTCCGAAGGCTCCTTGCCGATTGATTGGAGATGCTTGGGGTTAAGGTCGATTTCAAAAGGCGGTGGCCTCAGCAAAGGGGACTACAGGCCAATTTGTTCGACACCTATTTTGTTCAAGGTAGCCGAGATCTTGGATTTGCGTTTGCGACAGGTACTGCCAGAAGTTAGTCGTGGCTGGGGGTCCAAGGATCACGAACACACACGGCTGGGAACCCTCTCGGATATGGCAAGAAACCGTGCGCAATGGCGGACCTGTTATGACACCATTCCAATGAACATTGTTTTGTACTCTTTTTACTCTTCGTTTGTTTATTTTGCTTCCAATACCTTGTGGCGTTATGCCAATTGTACTATTGGCCATGTTGCATATATAGAATATATATATATATTCCAAACAAAAGATCTACACTACGAGATATAGCCTGTGTGTCTCGACAGACGATATAATGCCATGAATGTGGCAAAATCAGAATTAACATACTGTGGTTAGCTCTTTCTAGTTGCCTCTGTGTTAACAGTGTGGTGAGTCCACCAAAACGATTTTCATTTTATCCCTTGCTTTTTTATTAATCGTGTAGTGGTTCTCTTTTTGACCATCCTACAGGACTTGCTAAGTATCTGCTTTTTTGCCCGTAATATACCAGTGTTCCATTGTCACCCGCGCAGTGCAGTTTTATGCTAGGTCGTTCATGCATTACCAACCTGCCGGTGACGAGGCATGATTGGTCGCAAACAGGGAACCAGAGGAAGGCTTGGTTAATTTTAACATTAGGTTCTCCTTCACAGGCTGAGTCTGCGATGTTGGTCAATCACTGCCCCAGTGGATTCGCAAGTTTCTCTGACGAAAGTAGTGGACATAGGTCGACAACCACTTAACCGTCTGGTATCTCTCTACTAGTGTCGTACTCCAAGACTAGGGCCTACTTTGTTTCTGATCTATATCGAAGGTCTACCTCTGCATCCGTTGGCGGTGTGCCTTGTTTGCAGACGACCTGGAGATATGGAGAGTGATAGGCAGTTCCGACGACTGCGGCCTATTTCAGCAAGTACTCAACTGCATCTCAGTATTGTCTACAGAATTCTACCTCCCTATCAACCCACCCAACTCCGAATTCATGGGTCTGAAGTAGGGTGGTGACGGCCTAGCTTACGCTTTCGAAGGCTATCCGTTGCATCCCATACCTTCCGTGAAGAACCTAGGCGTAATCACTCGCTGCGATTTGAAATTTATGGAAAACATGAGCAGACTACAGCCAAACGGACTGCGCATGCCTTGTACACTCAAACTCAGGTAACCGCTCACCTCTCCTCCCCCATCATAAGACCAGTGCTAGTGTACCTCTCGCCCTCCTACTTTCCAATCGCTCGATTCGAGGTACAGAAGCGCGAACAATTCCAACACGTCGCTATCGGTATGAAGACCGATGCGAGTAACCGTGCCTCTACACCATGCCCTACTCTCGGCTGCTAATCCATCTCATCATGGCCTACCGCGTATTACATCTCATCAACTTCCCTATGACAAAGCCGTTGCTCCACTTGCGAATGCCATGCAACACAGGCTAACATCGGTACAAGCTTGTGGTACCCGATACGAAACGATTTTCCTACCCCTGTGTTTCGAGCGCAGAGTGGTAAATGTTTGGAACAATCTGCCAGAACATGTCGTGGAGACCAAATCCTCGCAGCAGTTCAACACTCTGTTGGGATTACATTTAACCACTACTCGACTCAGTGAACGATTGCACACTGACTTTGACATCTCACATTTGTGGGCCAATTGATACTGTGAGTCTAGTATCTTTGAATTCTACGTAAGAAGTTGACAAACGATTGGCGCATTAACAGATGACATACACATTTTGCAACCATTTTAATCGTATCCGAATGGAGTTGTGCATGGTTAAGTCTCTACTTGCTCCCACACAACACAGTATTCACTATACAGCAGGTTGAATGTTTTGTGTTGCTCAACTCACCTGATCCAGTACTACCGCTGCCAACATAGATGGCGTGTATCCTGCTCGGTTGAACGTGTCCACATTGATGCCCGGACAGTTGGCAATGAGTGCATCCACGACCAACCAACGCCCATGACACACCGCGTAGTGGAGAGCCGTGTTTCCCTAAAACGAAGATAAACGTGTCGAAGTCACAAATGAGAAATGCCGTTGTCATATGTCCCCAACATCTGCATTCCCTTACGGTAAGGGGATATTGGCAGGTGCATAAATAACACTGCATCTATTCTGGAGTTGCTCCCGCTGTACTTTAATGGCCAAGGCAACATGATAAGTGATGAACAGTGATGTTGGCGACTGTACATTCTCTAGAGCCATGGAGACTCGATGAACATGCGAACTGCGAAGAATTCCGCCGATGCTCATGTGGATGCCCGTGGTCCCGTAACATTGTTTTAGTTTATAGGCGTACTTTCACCAATGGGTGCGTGTTTGCCACACGTAGAAGACCCTCTCAGAAGCTGTTATTTCAGCTCCCACATTAGCCGTGTTCAAAGCACGTGTCGACAGTGCACTGACCATACTACACCATATCACGTAATCCAAACGACCCATACAAACAGCAGAAAAACAAAAGCAAAGCAACCCATCCCCATTTTTGCCTGGAAACCACAGACGAAAAGCTTGGATAGTACATAAAACAGCCGCGAACGCTGTAATCGGCAAGTTCGCAATTTGCAGTTTTTCACTAATTCCTGTTGCCATTTTCGCTTTTATTTTGCTTACCCCTAACCGATCATCCGGCGGGACATGTCAAGGTTCGGCTTATTATCCACAATATGTCAAGGGCGAGGTAACTAAATTCATGTCTCAGAACGTGTTGTGTAGTTAAAAATAGCCTATTGGTGTCTCTTGTGAACTACCACACAGCTGTGTTCAATTGGTCGTATAGAAAAGAATTGACTATTACTCTGTTCACACTTGCCAGTTCGCACCGAAGCAATTCGGTGATGTATTGACGCACAACTGCTCTTATGGTGGCGGTAAACTACCTAAATCGCTCGGCCGAGTCGCGCTTGAAGCTTAAATGCTTCCTATCATCAAGTTCTTCATCTTGCCATCCAAGAAGTGGCTTACAATGATGTGAAACACCAGCACCTTAGCTTTACTGCTGGACCGTTGGTTTACTCACTTGGTTTGGTGTTTCGGCCTCATACAGAAAGTATACCTGCTGTCGTATGGAGTCTCATCCGCAAGCGAACCTTTCTCAGCTACAGGCGTTACAGAGCGTTTAGCAATCCCGTGTATTTAGATTTCTTCGAATTATCAACCTATGTCTGCCAGGAACCTTGAAAACATCAAAAACACTTCCAACGAAGCAACCTATAAACTGTGTTGAAGGTTTTGACGACGCATCGTTTGAAGGATATCAGTCTGCAATTCAACATTTATATTCGCTCACATGACTTACTGTGTGATCGACCATATTCACGATTCGGTCGACAGGGCAAGCGGGTAAACATTGTAGTGCCTCAATGTGAGCCACTAATCGGCTGGCTTCTGCTGCAGGTCCTGAGGTGACTTCGAACCATATTCGCCGAACAGTGTCCGTTGCTTCATTCTGTGGGACGTAAAAGACTGTAGATCACCCGACAATACAGGTCGTTAGAGAATGGTTATTTCTATCCCGAGTGCGATCCAGTGATCAGTGACTGAGCTGAGTACATTAGAGTTATACTCAAGTGACAAATGAAAGGATTTTTGATCGAGATTCGTCACAGTCACCCCGCATCCGAACAAGCACTGCTTAGCCGTTTCATTCTTCCAAGAATCCCTAACACTGCGCGTTCCATCTCTCCCTTGGGGGGGGGGGCTAAAACCCGAAACCATGGGCTCACGAATATATATATATATATATATATATATATATATATATATATATATCCCTGCATCAGTCTAAATACCACAATGAGAAGACGGGTGTTGCACAGTGATATCATTTCGCGCTTTCTGACCACACTCAACCGAGCGATTTGTAACGATCACGGAAGGGTAAAATTACTGATTTAAATGCTGTTGGAATGGGAATGGAAGAAACACAAGGGCATAAACTTTAACAGAATCATAACATTAGAGACAGGTGTCACGATTCCCAAAGAAGCTTGATGGTGACAGTCAGCTGCTTTTGTACACACAGATTAGGACGACTGTGATTAATTGCCACAGCTTCCGCGAGTTTGAATACGGTATCTAACCGTAAACGCCAAGTTAGAGTCAATTTGCTGCCCCATTCCAAGTAAACGTCTGACGATCGATGAGGCCGACGATTTGGCTCTTGCAGCTTGTCACTGCGATTGCTTTGCTATTACTATAGCAACCCATTTCGGGATATTTGCATCGGTCCGCTTGCGCAGACACCGATCTGTACTGCCGAGGTAACTGCTTCCACAGTTACAGACAAAGTTGTAAACGCCATGTGTTGAGGCACAGACCGATTGCGTAAGCTTAACCGGAGGCGTTAGCAACTTACTTATTGTTCATATTGGGCACAGTTTTGCAGCACTGAATGTACATCGAATTGCTGTGGCAATACGCCGCTTGACTTGCGTAGCCACATCATCCCCTTTGAATGGGAATTAGAGATAGAAGGGCATTTTTGGCACCTTTGGGGGCTTCTGTTTGTTCCTTTCCGTCGTGCGACTGTGAAACTTAATGGACGCTGTCAGGTAGCCATTTGCCTCCAACGTCTGTGTGAAGAACCAATTCAGGTTCGATACATTCAGGACTGCAAATTCTACGGGAACTTTGGAACAGCGTTTTGACGAGGCAACTGTTGTACCGGACCGGTGTGAAGCTGCTGAAGTTTTCGTAAAGTATTGAACATAAGCTGTGGTACAGCTATTGTGCCAGCGGAATAATGGTAGAAGAGGCAAACCGTATTAATACATGGTTAAGACCAGTGGACTACGGGGATGAGCGATAGCCACCATGACAGTAACTAATTGCGATATAGCGCATATGCTCATTTTTCGTTGCCGCGAACTTCCTTTACTAAGCCACCATCGTCCGATATCATTACAACTTAGTTTTGGCAATTACTGATTTTTAGCGAGTAGTGCAATGTGAGCTTTGGATTAAGTTTTCGGTTGAGGTTCATTATATCCACACTTGGTCAGCCAGCCGCCACACGTATGCATGTGCACTCAGATGGTGGCTACAACGAATCTCCATCGCAAATCTAATACGAATTCTGCCTTTTTCAGAATTGCTCAGAGTTCAATACGACTATACAAGAAAGCTTTCGCGCATGTTACTGCCGACCGCTAATCAGCATTTGTAAGAGAACTACGCTGTCTCCTTAACTGTTAAACAACTGCGTGTTGCAACCGTGCTGTGATACTTTCTATCTTCTTACGAAAACATTACGCACCTGTACTCTACTCAAACATTTTAAGCGCCGGGTGCACTTTTAAGCCATGTACAGTAATACTACTTCTGCGGATGAGTTGTCGGATCCAAAACAAGACTTATTCTTTCAAGCTTAGTGTACTATCAGTCAAGTTGACCTGCTCAAGTTCCTGTGTTTTCAGTCATTACCTCGAGTGAAGATGGTAGCGGATTCTTACCGCATACTCACAGGTAACTGAAACGCACACTGCAGACCAGTTTCGAGAGAAGTACAGCAGCCCGGAGCTTCTCCAATCTTATGCTGGCTGTCTGCTTAGGCTCCTAATGTATACTCGTCATCAGTTGTGGGGTGGCGAGCAAACTCTCTTCTGTGAGACCATTTTCGTTGTATCTATTTTTTATTCGTATGAGCGAGGTTGTGACTAACTTAATTCGCTATGTATCTACGGGCCTGGATGATTGGCGGGATTTCGCCACGCACACATGCTCTCGGGCTGAGTGACATACGAACTCCCCGGGAATTCATTTTCCAACTGCATAAGCCTGGATGATTATGACGCAGGGCAGTAAAACCCGAAGGGAAGCTGTCTCGCCGATGTCGCCTTATCTCTGCACTATAGTCAGCTTTTTGTGATGGCATGTTGCTAACAAATGTTTGCTTGAAGCATTAGGGTTTTCCGGCAATACCCCCTTCTCTCCCTCTTATTATTCTTCGTTCCGTAGGTCGTTATGGTTATGACAACGAAGCATCAGTCCAAATGGCTAATCTGCTGTTGTTAGTGATGTTAATGATGTGGCTTAGATACTCCTCTGATTTATGCACGACTAGTATTAGTGCTAACATTAAAACATACATCAACTTTGCCATACATGACAGATATTGTTCCTGGTTTGCGCATAATCTTGCATAAACAGCATGTATGGACCAATGTGTTTGTTCATAATGTTCCTATCACAGTTTGAGGCCCACCGTACTGCGGTTTAATTAATGGGTACGAGGCAGAAGTTGGATTTGGTATTGTGGGTAATTTTTACATGTTCTTGTAATTCGTATACATAGGAACTAATGATCAGACGTTAACCTGTACACAGGCCTTCTTGGCTCGTTGCTGTGACTCATACGGTGGTTTTTCCGTTTGGAGACCTCAGTCTCATGTTGACATTGTCATAGTAGAGCGTTTTGTCACCTGTGGTTGAGCAACTGCATATATATATATATATATATATATATATATATATATATATATATTCCGGAGTGGATAGGCTGCCGCCTAGGGGTTTGCGGTTTTGGTCGAATATGGTGGACTTGCGCTGAATTCAAATCACCTAAACTACGAGGCTACATTACTCAGAGCGATCTCGACAAGGCTTATGCGTGGTCATGCGATAACCGGCTCCAGTTCAAGGTGGCCAAGTGCAAAGTCGTAAGCATACGCCATCAGCTTATCTATGAATGTCGACTTGGGAACCAGCAGTTACAACGTGTTTCCCAAGAAACCCACTTTGGGGTGATCGTGCAGTACGATCTTGGTTGCTCGAGACAGGCTGAAAAGGCATCAAAAAGAGCCAGTCAACATCATGGATTCTTAAGGAAGGCTTTTGGCGATTTTGAGCCATCAATCTTTCCGCAAATGCTGAACACCTACGTGAGGCCTCACGTCGAATAGGCGATCCAGGCATGGCCTCCCTGGTGCTGGTGCGACGTCGATGCACTTGAAGCTCCACAACGTAGAGCGACCAAACTCGTTAAAGGATTCTCTCATCACTCCTATCAACATAGACTGCAGTCCCTATGATTGCACAGTGGTGAATATCGACGTCAGCGAGGAGACGTAATCCTTGTTTACTTAATATTGACGAACCCAACTCACCCATGTCGCAATCTGTTGCAGCTGAGCCGAAATACCAACCTGAGAGGTCATCAGCTCAAACTGGCTACGCACTACAGTCGACTTGATTATCGACGCAAAGTTTTCTCCCTCTGTGTGTCCCGTGCCTGGAATGCCATTCCGCCTCACCTTATCCTTGCCCCTACATTAATGCTTTTCAAAAAGTGGCTTGATGAAGCGCTTTCAAACATGCATTACTTGATATGGTCAGTACCACTTGGAGGGAGAAACAACGCAAACCAAACCATGTGCTTAACGGCCCTCTCCGCAACGCGGCGGTGAGGATCCATGCAGTAATGTTCATGTGAGTAGCTTGGATTTATCTAAACTGGATTAACATACCACATCTGCCAAATGAAGAAACATACTAGTGTGAGTTGTCCTTTCCGTTTTTCTTTCTCACGCATTTACTGAACTGTAACGGCACTTTCTACTATTTTGTGTGTGCACATCCCATTCCCACTTCAAACTATCGTTATGCTGTCATGCATTTAAATCGGTAGACGCTTAAACTAACGATTTACTTATTTGATGGTCCTCTAAATTTTAATTTTTCTTCTTACCATCCTACGGTACTTCGCAAGCACATGCCATTTTACTCGTGATAAATCCTTGTTTATTGTTCAATCGATTGTATGGTCTCATCGCTTTGCTCCTTCTGCCGATCGTAGTTTACATCGCATACGGCTTCCTATAAACGGTTCGAGAACGGCGGGAAACAATACAGATTCTTCATGGCCAGTCGTTCCGCCCGAGCACTTCTTCTTACTTCTTTCTTCAATCTCTGGGTTGCCTGTTACTTTGTAAGGCACTCCGGCTGCGTGTACACTCAAACAACCACTGTTACCTCAAAGTAGTTTTTCTGGCCAACAGTTTCATGTGATCGAGGACCGAAAATCCGAATACTTTACTAGTTAGCGAACCATACTAGAGCCAGCAGTAAACGCCATTGTTTCATCCCTGAGTTCAACTTGGCTATCCACATACTCTTTCGACCGATGGCAAAAAGGAACGCCAACATCAATACTGCTATGCGTCTCAATGGAAGTATGGCTAACTGAACTATTTTGTTTATACTGTCCCTCTACACCCAGTGCGTTTAATTGCCTCGAGTTGTATAGCAATTCTAGCACTAGAGCGGGTACGTTCGTATGCCCCTGAGAAGCTACTGTAAGCACTATATGATATTTAAAACAGTCAGAACACATCTTACTCAGGACTATTTCGAGAATAACTAAATAGTGTGAGAAAATTTCACCCACCTTTTGTCAAGACCAACTATCCCTATTACTTGCGTGCCCTGTCCACCTGTGGCTCATACATACTCACTGTCTCATAACATCGTAATTCCAGCAACACCACGCTAAAATCTTTTTTCACGTCCCGGATTGTTCCATGCTGTCGGAGAGCACGCAACTAACTTCACGTTTGAGTAAACACCGTCTAGGCTATCACAGTCGACCAGAACTCTGGCACAAATATTCACCAGTAACAGAGGAGTTAGAAGCTATAATTGAAGAAATAGCGCTAAATCGTTGGCAAGTTATGTGGATGACATGCAAATTCGGCTGGAAACCGTGTTCAACTGTCGGTTTCCTAGAGCGTATCTTTCTGGGTGGCTCCATTATTGTAGCACCACAAATCAATCGACCATTTGACTGGTAAGCAGAAGTGTATACTCTTATTAGGGAATAGTGGGGGAGTCCCAGTAGGACGAAACGGCCGACCAGTGCCATCCTGGATGTAGTGTGACTGGCTAGATGCGACAGACCTTCCAAAAAAACAGGATTGAATACTTCATACTATTTATCTTAATTAGGTGCGTGCACCAATGATTCAAATAATAAAACCAAACTTTGGCGTTCTCAAACTACTTGTGCGTATCGTCTCTTTTCATATGAACTAGATGAAATCCGAACGCCTCCTGTTGTGCAGCGTTAGAAGCAGCACACTGACGCCATCTGCAGGACGCAGCGAATAGGGGCTTACCATGGCCTTTGAAATGACCGTTGTGGAATCTTCCAGCCACACAGCGAGGGTTTGGCAAGCAGCCAAAAACGCAACAGAAACCAAGCCAGTGACTGCTTTGCTGTAAATGAATTGGTGGTAAAAAAAATAACCATAAATTCAGATCGCAGGCATGAAGAAAACACGCGATGACAGTGGGTCTAATGTTCGTCTATCAAACAAGTCCATTTTATATCACTGTCTAATGGCTCAGTGCGTGGATGTTTTTAATGTTTGGCTTACTCAGAAAACCGAAATAGTAGGAATACGTTTGTTACTCCCCAGCTGATGTATTTTTACCCCATAAGTACGATTCCACAGTGTTGCTTAACACCGGCACACTTGCAGGAAAATATTTTGGGTGACGTATTGTAGTGAATATTTAGCCGGCCGAAATATTTCTAATGGGACCAACAGTTACAACTTGGTTTTCCACGGTTCTTTTGACCGTTCCTTAGGCGTTATCTTAGTGTGTATCGAATAATCCACAATCTCAGATGACAATATGATTAAGCAATCCTGCCTTAGTGAAATGTGTCTGGCCGCCCCGAATTAGTTGACAATCTAAGTCAAAACTGTGACATAAAGCCCCGGCAATATATTTCTATTGACAGATGCGCATTGAAGGCAGTCAGTTCAGCGAGGCATTTGCCTGAACTAGTACAAAAAGTTGAGGGTTATGGTCTAAGCATGTATCGCATTTTGATTCGTCCGTGTTGTTGCGTACTGTTTTTCCTTAGTCTCACATATTTGTATAGGTTATCTCGTCTCCACAACTAAATTATAAGACAATTGGCGCGACGAAATTTCTTTTCGATAATTCTCAGCAGGCGTGTACAATTAAAGTGCTGACAGTCAGATGAGCATTACGCTATTTCTAACCAGTGTGTGCTAGGTAGTAAATGTCCGGATAAGGGAAGTGTACAGAGGTTCAAATCAAACAAACTATAGTGGCTTGAAAATCCTTATTTAACAATCAACAACATAAGGCTAGAGGTGAACAATTATTTTTGGTGATTTCTCTTCAGAACTATACAATCACATAAGGAAAATGGCAGTGGGATTACAATTGATCGGATAAATTTAATTGCAGCAAATCACATGCTCGCCATGTTTGTGAACCGACGAGCAATCTAACCTAGGGCGACTGCCTTTTGCATCCAGCCCAACTACCCTCAGAGTATTATGCTTTCACTGGCCAAGGTAGCTACAAAGTGTGGATTTGTTTCTTATAAGAACATAATGGAGGTTGAAGCAACCAGATCCGATTGCTTCCGCTATTGAAAGCATACGGAGGCGTAGTATCCTGTTTACAACGGCGAGATCCTGTAGGTTATCCGGAAGACACGATTCACTTCTATTTGATACCCAGTGTCGACAACGTGAGCCAAAATGAAGCTAATAATAGCCCCAGTGCTACTGGTAGTGGATCGGGTTTCTGCTGAATGTTCTTATAAATGGTTATGTCCGGTTGCCCAGTCTCACGCAGCATATTTCGAGTGAATGCTAATTCGTCATTCAACGTGTCTGTTGTGCAAATCTTACGTGCCCTTGCTGTTAGACAGCGAGCCAAATTTCGCTTATATCGCAGAGGAACAAAGCTGTTGAAGTTGACATATTGTCCACTCCACGCGTTTCTCCGGTAGACACGAGGTTGCATGGAGCCGTCTGTTCTTCTGACTAGCAGCACGTCAAGAAACGGCAACCGGTTACTTGTTTCCTTCACACAAGTAAACTGCATCGCTACTTGGGCCCGGGTAAAGTGGTCGCGGACTTTATCTAAGTTGATGCACTTATCAGTCACGACAAATATGTCATCCATGTAACGGTGGTACAACTCAAAGATTTTTATCGGCTTTTGTAGCCAGGTTTTCTCTAATTTCGCCGTTAAAAAGCCATCCAACATTGGACCGAGTGGAGATCCCATGAAATATCCTCCTTCTACCGGTAGTGCTTACCAATAAATAGGAACTGCACCTTCCAACTACATCGCAAAAAAGGGCTCTTTAACTCACGCACTGGGACACAGCCAGTATTTGGGAATTCGCTATATGGTCACATATGTACTCTACCGCTTCCAGCAGCAGAAGGTTGGTAATAAGGTAGGCGACCTCGAGAGAGAACATTACTTTCTCATCGATGTTGCACTTTGGGTTGTTTTAAATGCATTGAAAGCTATTCTGAAATCTGTAATGTGTTACCTGCTGCCTTACCGGCTCAACTATTTCAAAAAGCCACTGTGCGAGTGCATGGTAGGACGAAGTAACCATGAACAAAATGGGGCGAAGGCGAACGCCGGGCATATGAATCTTCGTTAACCCGTAAAGCCTCGGAATGTTCATGTCGCTTGGCCTCAAGCTTTCATTACGATTACGTGAGATGTATTACTTATTCCGAAGCACCTGTAGGCTTTTAGGAATCTGTACTGCAACTTGTTCCGTCTGGTCTCTTTCCTCTATGAAGCAGGAAAACTTGGTCTCATCGCTAAGCAATCTAGTGAGTTTGTCAATGCAGTACTTTCTGTCTAAAAGCACAACTCCGGTACTTTGTCCGGTCTGCACAAGATGATATCCTTGTTGCTTCTTAGCTCCTTCAGAGTGCCAAAGTGCTATCGTTTCAGAGAGCCACGGTTACGGACATCGTACTTGCGATACTGGTAACAGCAGTAGACCTGGAAACATTTAAACCACTCCAGGTCCAAGATCGACTTAGGGAATAACCCTTATGTTTGGCCAACTAAGCTTTCAACTTGTAATACATAATGTAAATGGTTGTCATTGTGTATAGAGGCGCGAAATTTTATCCGTGTGACAACACGTCAAACAATGTGGTGCTCATTTCCAGGCTGGAGAAGTTGTGCACGTATTTCTCGGGACCGTTTGGGAACGATGTTTGCTGAAGCCAGTTACGCTGGATGGAAAAGGCAGTCACCCCAGTTTAGATTGCCTGTCGGTTCACGAACCACGTGGGCATGTGATTTGATGCAATTAAATTAATCCGATCAATTGTAATCCCACTGCTATTATCCTTATGCGAATGTACAGGTATAAAGAGAAAATAACGAAAACTAAAGCGGTTCAATTGCCTAAGGTAACCTGACTAGGCTAAGCTCATGATAAGATAATGGCTTGTACCAGCGTTTTCTGCCTCCACAGTTCTGGCTGCAGATGTCTGATTGCAATGGCTTCAGCCGTAGTCAGCAAACGCCTTTTGTACCCCTTTGGAGTCCGCTTTGGTACAGCATGGAGTACCTCAAAAATGTCCTTAGCTCTTATTTGATGTCCGGTGTTAATTAGTTGTTCTAAGATGGAGCTCTGGACATCCTTTATCATACCGTGCTGCAGTGATGCGAGGCAGTGCTCAGCAATCCTCTTCAATAGACGTCTGATTGTATGTCCAATATACCTAGCACCACAAGTGTAGGTGTATTGATATACGACAAAGGAGTTGGACACGACCGGAAGCCTATCTTTGAAGCGCTGCTTAATGAGAGGGGCTGTTTCATCAAGAGTGTGGACTCGGGCTGCTGGATAGCTTTGGCTCACTGCGGTTGACACACTTCTGCAAAATGGCTCAAAAAGTATGTCTCTCTTGAAAGACACTGGAAGAAATACATCTTTCTGACAGCCGTCATGTACTTATGATGAATGCGTACAACAGAATTCTTCTTGCTGAAAGCAGCCGGAGCGCCGTTTCCTTCTGTGGTTCTCGGAATGGAGTCGTTCGCCTCATCTAATATTACTTAGTTGCAGATTTTTGTGGTTTGATAGCACAGAGTAGTCATTAAGTTTCTTTTGTATTACATAGGAACGAAATTATGAAAGTGTGTGTACTGGCCAACCCAAGATGCCTTCCAGAACACCCTTCTTTAAACAGAGCCATCGTCTCGTCGCCGCGGCAACATGTCTAGGAAAGCCAGTTTACCATTGTCTTCGCGCTCGCAGGTGTATTTTAGCGACAAATGCGCGTTGTTATACTGATCCAATAGGTGAATTTGATTGGTTGTGGAGATATAAACTGTGAATGTATCATCCTTGTACCCGTAGTATGATACAAAAAGCGATGAGGTGTGGAATTGGATCGCCTTCAATTTTGGCAGGAGAAAGGCCTGCAAGTAGGGGCCCCAAACTTGATCCCATAGCAACTTCATATATTGGTCGGTAGTATGGTCCGTCGAATGAGAACTGCTTGTTGAAAGTACAAAGGAGGATTAGTTCTTTCACATTCTGCACTGAAAGGTCGATACCGGTCTTGTCCTCGTTTAGGCGGTCACAGATATAATTCACAGTTTCTATCAAAGGAACATTCGTGTATATGGACACCATATCAGAAGAAAACATCATCTTGCCTTCCACATACAAGTTGTCCAACCGCTTAAGGAACTCAAACGTGTAGCTCACTGTGTGTTGATAATTTCTTCCGCAAAGGTTCAAGTATTTCCACAAGCCACTTGGCAACTGAGTGTGCAGTGGAGCCCGACATGTCAACTATCGGACGTAGTGGAATATTGGATTTGTGTACTTTTGGTAACCCGTAGAGACGGGACGGTTGCGAGCCACATGGAGTTGGTCGGTCAAGCAAAGTGCCATCTATGTAGTTACCACGCCTTAGTTCCTTCAGCAACAAGGTGAGCTTGGACTCATCCTGCTCGGTGCTATCCTTGTGCACTGGATCCAGCAAGAATCTATTTGACTCACTCATGATGGGATGTATCTTGGACATGTAATCAGACTCGTCCATCACTACCCAATCACCCAGTCACAACTTCCTAGGATACTTACTAAAAAACATCGCGAAGCAGGTAAGCAACTGACCTCCAATCCAGATACTATACTCTCGTGACCAGACAAAGGATCGGGCTGGGTTGTGATGGGCGAGTCTGATTACATGTCCAAGTTCCAATTAACTAGTCTCTGGGGTGTCTCCTAACGGATTCTGCTCCTCCTGTTTATTTAAGTACTATGGTATCTAGCGTCAACAGATGCGTCTGAATCCTCCAATTAACCCGTCAACTTCCTAATGAGTTCTGTAGAACTGTACCTAGCTCGACTGCTGGTGAGGAAATCTGCATAAAAGTAGTCTAGCTGTACTGAACTTGCCTGTTTCCTCACGGTTCATAACAGTTCGCAAACAATCGACAAAGCAACAGTCACTCTTGGGTAGTGGGGATTCGCATGTACTTTAAATGTGGTTCATTACAGTCAGCTCTCGGTGAGGCAGATTCCTACACGTCTGGAGCAGCCGCGCTATATTTAAGTCAACTGTCAGTCATGCGGGTCTGCCGCCGTCACCCAAACCTTAGGGGCAAAAACTGCTGGCATTCAGAAATCTCGGGTTTGGAACGCAGCGAATGTCCAAGGAACACGCACCACTAAGGAGACCCAGCATGCCGAAACAGTCGTCTGGTTCTCTTCCAGACGTGTGAGCCTACCTTACTGAGAGGTGAGTGCGATGAACTTCATCTAATTAGTCACTTAATTTGGGTGATTACCAACTATCATAAACAACAAGCATCCCTTAAGTCACCGAATGATGGCAACACTCCTATTTATTAGAAGAACCATCAGAACTTGGTGCACGTGAAAATTATGACCTACCTTGGGGGGCTCTCCTCTATCTGCTGTTGTTTAGCATCGTTTTCGTGTTTTGGGTTGCCTGATTCTTCACGATCTACGGTTTCTTCTTTTGCAGCTAACTTTCCTGGCTCAGTCATCCTTGCATCACATTCCGAAGTTTCTGGAGTACGGCGCTTATTCTTCGACAATTTGACGAACTTCCATGATGACATCTTGGTATGTGATAGTATAACGCCATCGCCATCGGTTTTCGCTGCAACTCCGACTGTGCTCAAATCAGTGGACTGTGCAACCTTGACTTGTGGTGTCGAACGTGGCCGGAGCATTCCACAGGATGCGATAAATTTAATATTATGTCCGCATGCACTGGCCCGATAGCGGTCCTTTTTGGCATTTTCCTTTTGCTCAGTTTGAATCTGCTCTTTTGATACATTCGTAGGAAATGTGAGTTTCCCTGTCAAGAATCGATCTGTTTCAGTCCGGTCTGCCGACTTAGAAGATTCCTTAGTTTCCACTCTCGACTCTGGTGTCCTTCATAAACAGAACAGAGGAATGAAAACGGTGCTGTGATTTTTGATGACTAGTTTCTAAATGAACATGGAACTAATTCGTATGCACGATGCGTTCCAGGCAATATTACACACCTCTATTCAATGGACATTAACTTGTTGTATTATGGGACTATTCTTAACAATTGTTCCTGAATAATTGTTAAGGGTTCAAGTGACGCTCCTATTGCCCGAAGTGATTACGACACTCGATCTCGGCTATTCCGCCCATTGACGCCTTATTTGCGCGTCGTAATCTATCCAAACAAGAGGTGCATTGAATGGACCCTTAACCGCTGTGATAAGCAATACCCATGGCTCGGTGGAGTAGGCGCAACGGCTCCAGCTAGCAGTCTCTACAATGAACAATGAGGTTAAACTGGTTATGGAGCAGTGCTTTGCAAGTCCCGTTGAATGGTTCGTTGGACTTCGCGAAACACTCAAAACGGTTGGTACTTTAAGAAGGATGAGAGGAATTTATTGTTTGTTACACAGTATTCCTGCAATCCGCGTGGTTCTACAGCACCCACAGGTAACAGTAAATAAATCCAAGGTATATTACAGGAGTAGGATGGAGACGTAGTGATAATTAACAAACTGAAAGTGGATGAGTGTGTCACTCACCCATCTTTTAAATATTACTAGTGTCAATGTATGAACGACCGATTCGGAGAGACGCAGGGGTGACAGGTGAAAAGAAAAGGAATTTCTGCGGCACTCCAGACAACTATGCTGTTCTGCAAGTTTTAATGAGTAGCGTCTCAGGTTTTATAGCTACTGCGTTGCAGTAAGGAGCGGCACATATGATATGAGTAGTGGAAAATCATGTAAGCCATTATCAGGTTTCTTCGTAATCTGAGATACCGTCCGCTGAATAACGCTAATCTTTCCAGCCTCTGCTCGTATGAGAGATTGCACATTCCGAGGATACGTTTGGATGCCCGATTTTGAGGTTACTCCTACGGATAAGTACCGTGTTTCAGCCAGGGATGCCAGGCTTGAATTGCGTATTCGAACTGGGGACAGATATACGCACAAAGCATCTGTCTGAACATATAAATCTTTATTTGTCCAAACGCCCGTCACAACCGTCTGACGTATTGGTTACCAACCTCCGAGACCTTTCCGGATATTCTGGAGCAACCTAAGTCATCTTGAACCAACACACCCAGACCACGTTCGACGGAAGACTGCTGCAGTGCATTTGTTCCGACCGTGTGTGAGTAGTTGATGTGGTGTCGTATGGAAAGTACCTTGCCTTTACTCAAGTTGGATTGCAGTACCTTTTGGATTGACCACCGATGTACTGCGTCTAGGTCACTCCGAAATTAAACGGTGGTCGGCATTCACCTGAATCCTGCGCCAACTGTTGATGTCGTCGGCAAACAGTAGGAGGTTTGGAGCGATTGTCTGAGTGCGCTCCTTAACAAACACCGAAAACTATCGTGGAAGTGGAACTGAGGTTTGCGGCGCACCACACTCGACTTGTATGTGGTCAGATAAAGAACTCCGAACTCTAGCCACTAATTGCCTTTGAAGAAATTTGGCAATCCAGCTTAGAACATTTATCTTCGACTGCGTAACAATGAAGCTTGGAAAGCGGAATCCGATGGTCTAAACGACTGAATGCGTTCGCAAACTTCAGCTAGATCACATCAACACGCACTCCAGCGTCAGCTAAACCCGTCCAACTATACCGTGCCCTTAGTAAATTCGATATGCACGATCGCTGTTGACGGAAGCTGTGATGCTCATGAGTAAGAATGTTACCGTTTTCCAGATAGCATATCAGAGTTTCAGCAGCCATGAATCCTATGAACTTGGATAGTATAGGATATAAAGCTTCTGGGTGGTAGCTTGAAGGCTCAGCTCTGCTTCCGATTTTGTAAATCGAAGTTCTTATTCCAACCTTCCCAGGAGCAAGAATTTGCTGCTGTTCTGCGCAACGCTGGAAGAATTAGTTCAAACTTCTACCATTGTCTTGCTGTTGCTCGTATTGCCATTGGACGAATTATGTCGGCACCTGGGAATCTGTGGTTACGCAGCAACGTCCGCTTTTGCAAGAGTTCTTCAGCGGTATAAGAGATGGGGCAAATCCTAACGGCAGGGAGACATGAGCTGGGAGATCGTTTGTTTGCAAAACCCACTGAAACATGGGAGCATATTGCACCTGGTGCGCGCTTGCTGCTTCTTTAGCCGTTCTAGTTAGGCTATCAATCGTCCATAGTGGAAGAAATCTGTGTCTCACCTTTCGTAAGCTATTGCGATGCTTGTACATTAGTTTTGGTTGACCCTGAGGCTTTTTGCCGTGTTCTGCTACTTTGCCGCTTTGTCTCCTCTGAGCGATTGGGTACACTGGTTACGTTAGGATACGTATTTGTCCCAAGTTTCTGGAGTTGTAGCTAATCCATGCAATCGCCATGCTGCATTTCCTACTAACATCCACTTTCAAGTTCTGCTCCTACATAATGAAACTGAGTTAAAAACATTGTAACGTCTTGTCTCTAAGACATCTGTAACCAGCTGCTTGCATGTGTGTACGAACTCGAGCCATGGAGTATTTGGCATGGAGCGACCAGATTGTGTCGCTGAAGAGCTCGGCTACTCAAAGGTAGCCTGGGATGGTTCGCACGTCATTATTTTCTCATTCCGATATTCCGTATATCAGATGAAGTTGAAACTAATGACTGCATGATCACTGCGACCCAAGGGCTAGTCTACCACTAACACACCAATCATGTATTCTTCGCTGGTAAGCACACGATCCAGCACTGATGATAGGTTACTACTAAATCGAGTGGGCAAAGTGATGTGCTTGTAAAGCGGAGCAGTGGCTACGAGCTCCTGCAGATCGGCTATGGATTGTTCTCCAATCATGGCAAGGGTTTCTAAGAAATGTACGTTGAAATAACCCATTATGAAGAGGTGAGTATATCTTCTGTTTAGGATGCGTCTTAAAGTATTCGTAAGTTGACATTCCGTTTCAGGTGTATTCAAGATGCTATAACGTTAGTGTGTTTGATTTTTAACTGAAATGGGCATCAAAAAACATCGGGGAACTGCGAGTCTGAATTTTTCATGCCCTCGCAATGTGGGTCGCTTCGGTAACATAATAGATCAATTGTGTATGATGGGTTAAAACGCGTAACTTTACAAGACTCACGGGATGGTAAACACACAAGAAAATTACAATTACTAATGTTACTACATGGAACGTGAATCATCAGTAGTAAAGACATTGTAACTTATCACACTGTTGTGTAGAGTTTCTCGAAAGTCGCGATGTCACGGGAGTTCACCACATGTGTTGGTAGTGCATTCCAGAGAAAAGAGATTCTAAGAAAAATATTTCCTACAAGCAAAACGGAAGTGTTGCGTTAGTAGTTTCAGGTGGTAGCCACGACATTGCATGTAAGGAGCTAGGGTCAGCAGTGATGTACATGGGTGCTAGCTTTCAGTTTGTATCCGGAATGTGAGAACGTGGTCTCCGCGAAGCCGTCGGTATTCTGAGGAGAATACACCGAGTAAAAGAAGGCGCAATTCGTAATTGAAACTGAATGGTTCACGAGTTTCCTTTATGGCTCTTCTCTGTGGTTGCTTTAACAGACAAACATCTTGTTTTAACCATGGGCGCTAGGCCTGAACCACATATTCAACGTGAAATCAAACTATGTGTTGATCAACAGCGGTGCTAGTCGCCGCTCAAAGGTGCCGAGTGCTCGCCTTAAAGGCCTCAATTTCGAGTTACCCACATACCTTGCTTTCGAACATTGGAGCGAAGTGCCAAGACTTTCTAGAAGGATGATACCTAAGTCTCGTTCACTGGTCACCTGTTGCAAAACGTGTTCCCTAAGATATGTGTTAATGAAGCTGAAATGCACCGTCAGCAAGTGGCACTTTGCAGGGTTCAATTGGAGCTGGTTCCTTTCTGCCCATTCGTTAATCCGGTCCAAATTGTTCTAGAGATAGGCACGGTCGAATGCTAAGCCAATTGCTCTCCATATTTTAGCATCATCTGCAAATATTTGCATCGGGGATAAAATGTTTTCTGGTAAGTCAATATTGCGGACTAAAAACAGGTGCGTGCCGAAGACGGATCCTTGAGGTACACCAGTGGTTACGCATAGGTTTTCGAGTAAGTGACTGATATGCTTACGTCGATAGTTCTATCTTGTAGGTAATCTTCCAAGCAGGCTAGCAGGGAATGTTGATACCGTAGGAAGCAAGCCGTTTGAGGAGAACGAAGTGATTGCCCCTATCAAATGCCTTAGAGAAACCTAAGTAAACCACGTCTATGGGGACTCCACAGCTACCCTGGCCCATGAATCCTGAGCGAGGAGCAGATTTGTGAGTCAAGACCGACTGCATCTGAAACCATTTTGGGCAATGGAAATTATTTTCACATTGTCCAAATATCGCGTCACTTTATCTGTGCTTACCCCTCCTCCTTTTGTGAATCTATCTGTCGAATGAGTGATATGCCCGGTACCGAGAACAGCGTCAATCATTACAGTGATACTGATGATAGCATATCTATCGGCTTTCTTTCAGTTCGGCTGACTTATGGAAAATGTTCTGAGCCCACAGCGGGTCAAAGGAGTCAACTGCGGGTGAATGCCGACCAACGTGAGGTCGGCCGTTACTTTTTTATAGGATTCTAACACCTTTTCTCTAACTTGATTCTGCTAAGCCGCAGCCCAATCCTTGTTTAGACCTAAGCCAGAATCGCGTCAAGGAGCAGTCTCGTGAATCTCCTATGTCGTCACCGTCACAGTTGCTACTTCAGATTGTTTCATACCTAGACTTCATAAAACTTTTTCAGCATAAAAAACCCAAGTTCAGATGGAACGCTTTTTCGACTGATCCAGAACATCGCAATGAGTTGGCGGTAGATTCGGGGACATCTGAGCACAAAACAGTCAAGGCACAATTGTTGGATCCCTTTTTCATTGAGCTGCAAAATCTGACGATCGTTTGCTCCGA